CAATAATACAATTCTGTTTTGAGGCAAAAAACAGTCATTTGTAAAGTGTATTACTCATAAAGCTGCACTTCATTCAGCCATTTCTCAAAGCTGTTTGAAATTATATTAATGGAGATCTAATATAGCTGTGAAAATAAAAATACAATGCAAAAATATTTTAAAAGCCATAGTCTGTTAACAGCCATAGTCTCTGACTCATTGGAAGAATATTAAATTTCACTTGATTATGTTTATTTAACTTTAGATTCTTGAGCACTTCTAAATGTTCACAGAAATGTCACCTTAACCCTGGAAAGGACCATTTACTTGATCATATATTACAGAGGCGTATTTGTAAATTCAAGTGGTTTTCCCTCTTTTCACTTGTGTGAAACTCACAAAAGGAAATTTTTCTTAAGAGATACAAGTACAAAAGGAAAAGACTATCCATCAGCCAAAAGAAATAGCAAAGGTTGGCAGTTGGCCCTTGTCAACCTTGGATTCTGAAGAAACATGTCACATTCCCATTCAGAGGAGAAAGTTTAACACGTGATGTAAGAAAGTTCCAGTCCAAGAGATGTGCAGTCAATTTTCAATAAAAGTTAAATTAACATTTGTCTGCAAGAATCTTTCAGGCTAGCATGAAACATAAGAAACACATAGATGAGACACTCTTTGTATTTGGAAAAAAAGGAAATGGAACTCCACTAGGATCAGCTACAGCATGGAAATTTTCACATAAGTTTTTGATTAACACCTATAATCTATAATATGAGGTAAGTATCTACAGTCCTATTTTACAGATAAAGAAATTGAAGATCAGGAACTCTGAGTAATTTATCAAAAATCACATGGGTAGTAAGGGAGTGTTCTGGCATCGATAGCATAGTCCTTATTTAATGGTATTATAAGCCTGTTTTGTCTTCCTTCTCTGTTACAATATAAGCTTGATGAATGTAGAGCCATAACTCACTTTCTCAACATTATATAACCATGGCCCTTTACAAAGTTTAATTACAGTGATAACTAAATAAACATTCATTGATTAATTAGTAGTTAGGAAACACCTTAAAATCTGAACGAAATTTAACATGTGTGCCATCCCTCTTAACTATTATGTTGGCAGATCTAATACTGTGCTGTGCTGTGTATCAAGTTGCCTAATACCTATAGAACTAATTTGTAAATTGGGAAGTATGTATATTGGTTGTTTACCTATTCATCTGTCATTTTTAGAAGGCTTTTGTTGAACATTGACCACAAACCAGAAGACATCTAATGGTCCCTTCTCATGTTCTCACTATTCCTACCCACCACTCTGAAGGTGACACTCTGTTGATTTTAACACCAAAATGGGGCTTTGTCTATACATATTTGAGCTCTGTAAATGGAATTCAAAAATATATATGGCGTCTTTCCCTTATGTTTGAAATAGTCATCTAAGTTGTTTTTCGCAATCGTTTGTAGAACTGTTGTAGTCATTGCTATGTAGGCTTCTCTACTGCTTGAATATACTACAATTTATTTATATATTCTAATATAGATAAACATTTGAGGGTTTTTTCAGTTTTTAGTTATAGCAAAGACTGTTATTATGAGTGATCATGATCTTTTTCTGAACGTATTATGCATTTCTGTAGACATAGTCCTATATGTAAAATTTCTGGATCATAGGGCATAGGATCCAGAATATAGCTGTGAAAATGAAAGTAGAAAGCTTCAGTATATACCACCAAAAGGTTGCCCAAAGTTATCAGGACCAATTTATACTCACACCAGTCATGTATGAGAATTTCAGTTTCTCTATACATCTGCCAACACTTACCATTATCAGAATTTTCAATTTAGCTATCTTATTTGCTGTGCAGTGATATATCTAATTGTGATTTTGATTTTTATTTCTTCTATGAAAAATGATTTTGAGAGTACTTTTATGTTTATTGACCATTCAAATATTTCTTTTTGCAGCTTATTGGTTTTTTAGATGATTTGTTGAAATTGTGACAAATGTTTATGTACCCCAGGGTCATAATATATTTGACTCTGATATTTTCTAAAAGCTTTATTGTTTTATATGTCATATTTTGTCTACAATCTTCCCAGAATTCATATATATATATGTATATGTATATATGTATATGTATATATATACACATGTATATATACATATATATACATATACATATATACACATATACATATACATATATATACATATACATATATACACACATATATATATATATACACACACATATATATGGTTTCCTTTTATTTGTATTCATGCATACATATGAGATACTATCTGGAAGAAAGCCTAACACAATAAATAAATACTAATTAAATGGCAGGTTAATGTAAGAAATTTATGTTAGTATAACACTAAGTGTATGAAAAGTGAGTGGAACAAACATGGAGACAAATCTCAGCTTCCAAAAAAAGTAGTCATATGAAATTTTATCATCTTTAAAAGGTGAAATATCACTCTCCAACTGAACAAGAAAGAGGAGAATTAACTTATAATAACCAAATATTACATTATAGAATTTTGCTGTTGTCAACCTAAGTAACAAACAAGGAGAGATGCTCCAAGGATCTTAAGTTTATTTGGGGATGTGCAAGGGTTTTGCAAACCCAGGATATGCAGGCTTATGGGGACCTTGGCATTGCATTAGTCTGTTTTCATGCTGCTGATAAACAAATATCTGAGACTAGGCAATTTAAAAAAGAAAGAGGTTTATTGGACTTACAGTTCCATGTGGCTGGGGAATTTTCAAAATCATGATGGAAGGTGAAAGGCACATCTCACTGGCAATAGATAAAAGAGCTTGTGCAGAGAAACTCCCGTTTTTAAAACCATCAGATCTCATGAGACTCATTCACAGTAAAGAAAACAACGCAGGAAAGATCTACCCCCATAATGCAATCACCTTCCACTGGGTTCCTCCCACAACACATGGGAATTATGGGAGTTATAATTCAAGATGAGATTTGGGTGGGAACATATCCAAACCATATTATTCCACTCCTCATTCCTCCCAAATCTCATGTCCTCACATTTCTAAATCAATCATGCCTTTCCAACAGTCCTGCAAACTCTTAATTCATTTCAACATTAACTCAGAAGTCCACAGTTCAACATCTCATCTGAGACAAGGCAAGTCCCTTCTGCCTATGAACCTGTACAATCGAAAGCAAATTAGTTACTTCCTAGATACAATGGGGGTACAGGCATTGGGTAAGTATGACTATTCCAAATAGAAGAGAGTGGCCAAAACAAAGGGGCTAAAAGCCCCAGGTAAGCCCAAAATCCAGTGGGGCAGTCAAATCTTAAAGCTCCATCATGATCTCCCTCAACTCCATGTCTCACATCCAGATCATGCTGATGCAAGAGGTAGGTTCCAATGGTCTTGGGCAGCTCTGCCCCTGTGGCTTTGCAGGGTACAGCCTCCCTCCCAGCTGCCTTCATGGGCTGGCATTGAGTGTCTTCAGCTTTTCTGGGCACATGCACGGTACAATCTATCAATGGATCTACCATTCTGGGGTCTGGGGAGTGGTGGCCCTCTTCTCACAGCTCCACTAGGTGGTGGTCCAGTAGGGACTTTGCGTGGGGGCTGTAATCCCACATTTCCCTTCTGCACTGCCCTAGCAGAGGTTCTCCATGAGGACATCACTCCTACAGCAAACTTCTGCCTGGATATCCAGGCATTTCTATACATCATCTGAAATCTAGGAGGAGGTTTCCAAAGCTCAATTCTTGACTTCTGGTCACTCCCAGGCTCAACATCATGTGGAAGCTGCTAAAGCTTGAGGCTTGCACCCTCTGAAGCCATGACCCAAGCTCTATGTTGGCCTCTTTCAGTGATAGATAGAGCATCTGGGACCCAGGGCACCAAGTCCCTAGGCTGCACACAGCACAGAGACCCAAGACCCAGCCCAGGAAACCACTTTTCCTCCTAGGTCCCCCGGTCTATGATGGGAAAGGCTGCCGCAAAGTTCTCTGACATTCCCTCAAGATATTTTCCTCATTGTCTTGGTGATTAACATTGGGCTCCTTGTTACTTATGTAAACTTCTGCAGCTGGCTTGAATTTCTCCTCACAAAATAGGATTTTCTTTTGTATTGCATTGTCAGGAGGCAAATTTTCCAAATACTATTTTCTGTTTCTCTTTTGAAACTGAATGCCTTTAACAACACCCAAGTCACCCCTTCAATGCTTCGCTGCTTAGAAATTTCTTCCACCAGATACCCTAAATCACCTCTCTCAAGTTCAAAGTTCCACAAATATCTAAGGCAGGGAGCAAAATGCTGCCTGTCTCTTTGCTAAAACATAACAAGAGTCAGCTTTGCTCTAGTTCCCAACAAGTTCTCATCTACATTTGAGATCACCTCAGCCTGGACCTTATTGTTCATATCACTATGGTCAAGTTTGTTCAAATCCACTCAACAATTCTCTAAGAAGTTCCAATCTTTCCTGCATTTTTCTGTCTTCTGAGCCCTCCAAACTTTTCCAACCTCTGCCTGTTACACAGTTCCAAAGTCACTTCCACATTTTCATATATCTTTTCATGTCCTACTTCTGGTACCAATTTATGGTATTAGTCCATTTTTACACTGTTGATAAAGACATACCTGAAACTGGTCAATTTAAAAAAGGAAAAGGGTCATTGGACTTATGGTTCCATGTTTCTGGGGGGGCCTCACAGTCATGGCAGAAGGTGAAAGCCATATCTCACATAATGACAGACAAGAGATTGTGCAGGGAAACTCCCCTTTAAAACCATCAGATCTCATGAGAATCATTCACTCTCATGGAATGACCCGCCCCCATAATTCAATCAACTCCAATGGGGTTCCTCCCACATGATGTGGGAGTTGCTGGAATTACAATTCAAGATAAGACTTGGGTGGAGACATAGCCAAATCATATAAGGCATATCCAAAGAGGTTGAGGAAAAGAGAAGCTTTTTTTTTTTTTTTAATTGAGATAGAGTCTCACTCTGTCACCAGGCTGGAGTGCAGTGGCATGATCTCGGCTCATTGCAACCTCCACCTCCAGCATTCAGGTGATTCTTCCAGCCTCAGCCTCCCGAGTAAGTGAACTACAGGCATGTGCCACCAGGCCCAGCTAATTTTCTATGTGTATTTTTAGTAGAGACAAGGTTTCACCATGTTGGCCAGGAAGGACTTGATCTCCTGACCTCATAATCCACCTGCCTTGGCCTCCCAAAGTGCTCGGATTACAGGCATGAACGAACACTCCCAGCCATCTCTTGGTTTTTTAGTTTATTTTTCCATTAGTGTTTGACACAAGTAATTCCATGTTGATTCTGAAGACTTTCATATTGTGATAGTTTTATTTATCCAAATTTCAAACCTGTAGGAATAAAATTATTTTCCACTATAGATAAAATTTTATCCCCCACAAAAAAATTGTATGTTGATAATATTTAGAGATAAGGCCTTTGGGATTTAACTGGGTTTAGATAAGATCATAATGGTGGGGCCCTTGTGATGGGATTACTGTTCTTATTAAAAGTGGGAGAGGAAGAGAGAGATTTCTGTCCATCTCAGTGTGTGCACAAGGAAGAGGCCATGTGAGCACAAAGTAAGATGGTTACCTACAAGCCATGAGAACACACCACAAAATGAGGCCTACCCTGCTGACACCTTGACCATGGTCTTCCAGCCTCCAGAACTGTAAGCAGTAAATTCTGTCCTTAAGCCACCCAGGCTATGTTTATCTGTTATAAAAGCCCAAGCAGACTAAGACATTTATTGCTAAATATATTTTCAATAAACTTAAAATAAACAGTGAATGATATGGTTTGGCTCTGTGTCACCCCACCCCCACTCAAATCTCATTTTGAATTGTTATCTGATTTGTAATTCCCAGGTGTCAAGGGGAGGAACCTAGTGGGAGGTGATTGGATCATGGGGGCAGTTTCCCCCCACTATTCTCATGATAGTTAATTGTCATGAGATTTGGTTGTCTGGTAAGTGTGGGGTTCTTCCTCTTGGTGCACTTCTCTTTCTCCTGCCACCATGTAAGACATGCCTGCTTCCCCTTCTGCCATGATTATAAGTTTCTTGAGGCCTCCTGAGGCCTCTCCAGACATGTGGAACTGTGAGTCAATTAAACCTCTTTTCTTTACAAATTACCCAGTCTCAGGCAGTTCTTCATAGCAGTGTGAAAAAGAACTGAACATGGGCATAGGATCTAGAAATCGTTTCTGTTTTATCTCTTTTCCTTAATTATTATTTAACTAGTCATTATATAATTAATATTATTTCTTAACAACTCATAAAAATGTAGTTCCTAAGGTCAACAGAATGATTTTTTTGTAGAGAAGGCTTAGTTGCTAATTAAAAAAAGAGAAAGCAATACAATACTTAACTAGGGTAAAACAAAGAAAAGTTGGCTCTGAAAACAATCAAACAGAAAAAAAGCCTTGTATACAGAAAGCCTTGCTCAAAAATAAGCTGTATTCTTAGTGAAAGATGTAATACAAAGAGTGGAACTCTTTCCTTTAAAAAGAAAAAGAAAGAAATAGAGAAGCTTTCAATTAACAGACAGAAATGTGAAGCTGAAAAAACAAGCTTCGGCATTTACACTGAAAAAAAGAAATTGCAAACAAACAAGAAAGTTTAGAAAGAAGATGTATTTGGCCTTTGCCTTTTAAATAATGCCTTGGTATTACACTGCATTTAGTTCTCACTGTAAAACTTATCTAACCCAAGTTAATTACATTTCCAATGATAGTTGTGAGAGCAATTGCCAAGATTTACTACATAAATGACATAAATTTAGCTGCAGAATAATTAAGTCAGAATTTGAGTCCATACATTAAGCAATGGAAGCATAATTACATTCTTATGGATGTTTAAAACTTCACTTGCAATTCTATAAAAATGGATTCAGCACAGATTCAGATTGCATTCACTTTCATTTACACTTTCTTTTCTTCCAATTCTAATACAAAAAAAAATGCAAACTGTAATTTGGGTGGTGCTTTATAGACCACAGCGCATTTTTTATATATATAGGGAAATGAAATCTTTGTTCATTTCCTGCTTATGGCAGTACCAAGAGGTGGCTTGGAAGATTGCAGTGAGAGCAAGGGGTTTTGGCCTCACAATGAACTTCATCGTGACTTCATCTTTGCCTTCCCAAATAGCCATTCTATTAAAAATAAAACATAGTCATATGTGAGCTCACATGCATGTGCACACACATGCACACACACGTTCTTGCCAGTTAATGCATTTTGAACACAAGTCACTTGAATTTCTACCCAAACTGTCTACCTTAAATTCCTCCTAAATGAATGGATATTCAAAAGCCACATATGAATTTTAGATCCCAATGAAATCTATGCCTTTGTGTTTCCTCACTGATCTATCCATAGTTTTGATCCGCTGTATTTTTAAATTTTACACTTTCCACTATTATTATTGTTACTATTTTCCAGATAGTAAGATCTATTTTATATTCATCATTTTGATCCTGAAACTAACAACCAAATGTGTAACATTCTCTTATGTCTGTGTTTTGTGTTTTATAGCTTCCTAGTCCCACAGGATAGGACATGAAACAGAAGTTTATTACCCAGAATAGGAAATTTTAGAGCTCACATTCATTGCTATCAGTTGGGAACCAATTCTTTTTTCACCTAAAAAAAAAAAAAAAAAGAAACATCTGCAGCTATCTAATTAGTTTATACCAAGAATGATTAAGCAATGTAGTGTCAATTAACACATTTAATGTGAAGGAAGATATCTAGTACTTAATTGATATCCTGTTATTATTAAAAGTCATATGACAAATAGGAATAAAGCTAGCTAATAAGTCACTTTTCTATTCCTCTCAGTTGACTACCTAACAGCTAAATACTCCAGCTATTCCCACTGTACAGTCTCATTTACTGTTGCTCCTAGCAACCAATTTATATTTAATCATGTACAAGATCACTTATAGAGGGGAAAAATTAATCGTGATATCTGAATCACAAAGTAGAAAGGCAAAAAGCCTAAGATTAAATGTGTGTGATTGCTGTATATTGAATTGAGTGACTCTTTGGGATTAAAATTATTATAGCTTTGTTACTGAGTTGAGCCAATACTTTAATCCATGCAGGATTCTTATTATCTTTAGAGTGCTCCTCGATTCAGCAGTATAGACATCACCTGGGAGCATGTTAGAAATGCAAATTCTCAAGCCCCACCCCAGATCTACTAAAATATGCACTTTGACAAGATTCCCCCGGTGATTTAGATGCACATCAAATTTTGAGAAGCTTCTCAACTCTTCATGTCATTTTAAGTGCCTTACGGAAGGAGTCTTTCACCATTACCTTGAAAGGAAAAAAAAAGAAAAAAAAAAAAAACAAAGCTAAGTGCTGGAAGTCATTTCCTCATCAGTACACAACCCTCTTTGTTCCTAACTTCTAAATCCCCCAAGTACAATATTATTACCCCACGATTTAGTCATCACAATGTGATTATTCTGTTTTGACATTTTCTTTGTGTAATAGAAATAGCAGACATTAATGATATGACTAACCTTGGAACTAAAAATCAATATTTGCTCCTTTTCTTCCTATTTTAAAATCTCTACAAGAGCGCTGGATGATTTATTACAACTTTATTCAATAAACACTTTGGGGCACCTACTCTGGGCCAGGTATTGCTCTGGGGGCTGGAGATTCTGCCCTGCAAAATTCACACTCTATTATAGAAAGCAGCCATATCCACAAAGCATCAAAAGTCTGCCTGATTAATTTGCCTGAGAAGAAACAGAAGTGAAGTCTGAGCTGGAATACTAAGAACAATTAAGAGTCTGAGTCAGGTTGAGAGGGTATTTCAGGCAGAGAAGACAGCACATACATATGCACAGGACCAAGGAACAGCTAGGGATGTTTAGGGAGCTTCAGATGTTTTTGGGGTGGGTGAAAGTTTTAGCTCCAGAGATAAGCAAGTCTATGAAGATCATGCTGATTAAGAATGCTTAGTATCTTTTAGACATTCCTCTAAAATTTTTAATTTTTTTTAAGGTAGGAAAACTGTAGCCAATAAAATTTTAGGCTCTTTAAAAAATATTCAGAAGTTTTCTATTCTTAATTCCCAGAAACATCCATGCAATTTTAGCATTGAAACAGTATCTTCTAACTTTTTAACTACCTAGAACCCTTTATGATTAAAATGTCCCACATAGATCCTGTAATTTTTCAATATTTTGTCTATAAAAATATAGAATATATTTAAGCATATCCTTTATGACCATGCAATGCATATTTGCATTGTTAGCCTAAGAATTTTGGAGCCATAAGACTGTTCTTGAAGACCTCCAGGTTGGAAACCATGGATACCAACTAGGGCAAACCTTGTTCAGGTATAGAATGTTCCCCACAGCTCCCTAAACAGTGTAGGGGAGAAAAATATATATTTTTATTTCCTTCCACTCATCTTAGATTCATTGGCTAGGGCCCTACAAATTAGATTGACAGAAGATAACGTGTTAGTCTGCACTACTATCAACACTCGAGGCTGGGAAACTGATAAAGGAAAGAGGTTTATCTGGATCGCAGTTCTGCAGGATGTGCAAGCAGAGCACCAGCATACAGTTGGTTTCTGGTGAGGCCCAGAAGGATTTAATCACTGCAGAAGGTGAAGTTGGAGCAGGTGTGTCACATGGCAATAGAGGGAGCAAGAGAGATGTCAGGCTCTTTTTAACAACCAGCTCTCACATGAACTCACAGAGTGAGAGCTCACTCATTACCAAGCCATTCATGAGGGATTTGCCTACATGACACAAACAGCTCCCACCAGGCCCCATCCCCAACCTTAGGCATCACATTTCAACATGAGATTTAGAAGGAGTGTACATTCAACCATTATCAGACAGATTAGCAAGAGAAAAACAAACAGAAGTTTATTAGTAACAACAAGTGCATCACATTAGCACATGAAAATGCTCAGAGATAAGAAACTAAAAGGGGTCCTTAGAACTGGGAGTTATATACCATCTTAAC